ACATTGTTTTTCAAGGTGCATTCATTTTCCTAGAAATGACTCAAACTTATCCTTCTTTCTGGCCAAGTAGTACTGAATGTGTATAAATAACACATTTTCTTTATCCATTCATCTGTTGATGAATACCTAGGTTCCTTCCAAGAGTCAGCTATTATGTATTGTGCTGGTATAAACTTGGGTATATATATATATATATATATATATATATATATACACACATCACTGGGTATGATGTTAACTCTTTTGAAAAGATACTTAGAAGGGAAATAGCTGGGTCAAATGGAATTTCTAGTTTTAATTTTGTGAGGAATCTCTTGTATCATTTGTATAATTAAAAATGACACATCATGATGTGATGTATAATTTAATTTACAAATTTACATAAAAATGAGACCTTTTACAAAGGCAGTGGCTTCCCCATACCTCACTTCCCACCCCATCTATACTCATGTCACAGATCAGAAAGCAGGCTTAGACAAGTGACTCACCAAAGACAAAGTGACACAAGCCAGGGATGCAGGGATGGAACTGACACTAGCAGACAAGTTAGGACCGCCAGCCTGGCCAGGAGGCTGGGAGGATCACATGGTCCTTATGACCAAGAAGCTCACGACCTTGACAACAAGGCAGACCTCAAGACTCCAGGACAAAGTGGTTGTGCCTAGTAAGAACAGAATAAACAAGCGTTAACCCTTCTTGAAGGCCAAATATGTGCAGAGCAGTGTGCTAAAAGCTTTCCATGCAATAATTCACTTTATTCTCCTGGAGCCTGCGGTACAGGTACTAGAATTATTACCCTCACTTTACAGGAAGCAGTAGGCCGAGGAACAGATGGGTTAAGGAACCGGAAGTAGGAAGTATTGAAGGCTGAGCGGAAGCAGCCTCTGTCCAGTGCCCTCTTTCTTGCCAAAGGAGGGGCTCACAAGCCAACGATCATTAAGGAAGAGGAAGCCCGGTGCCCCTTCTTCTGTGGTCTCCGTAAAGTCCAATGCCACGGACAGCACTCATTGGCTCTCCATTGGGATGGGGGCGTCCTCCTGATGCTCTCTCTCTCATCTTGCAGGTCAAACAGGAGAATAAGATGATCAGTAAAGAGATACAGAAGTGGCAGGCTGGAAGGAAGATTCTACCCTATTTGTAGTAGTCATAGAAAATTTCAAACTTATGCAAAGATAGAAAAGAAAGAACAATGAACTCAATCTTTCAGAATGATTCTGGTTTAGACTACTATACTCCACAAAACAGACCCGCCTGGGAGACACTGGAGCTAAAGTCCAGTCTTCCTGCAGTGGGGAGGGGAGGGCTGTGGCAGGAGGGTGCTGTGCACTCCCCAGGAAGGGCTCATTTCAAGGCTGGAGGCCCACAGTCCACTCAGCACTGGCCACACAGATCATCCCAGTTTTGGAAACGGAGGTCATCTGAATTTTGAACTGCTTCTTTCATTTTTTAATTGAGATACATACATGTTGTAAATTATATAGCTGAGCTCTGTGGTATTCACAGAGGTGTACAATTATCACCATGATCCAATTCTAGTACATTTTCATCACCTCAGGGAGTCCCGTATCCATTAGCCACCACTCTCTCTGTCCCCCTCTTCTCTTACTCCTAGCAACCACTCGTCTACTTTATGCTCCTATAGATTTGTCTAGTTTTGATATTTCTTATAAACAGATTCATACATGTGGCTTTTTGTGTTTGGCTTCTCTCACCTTAGCACCATATTTTCAAGTTCATCTGTGTCGCAATGTATATCAGTATTTCATTCTTCTAGATGGCTGAATAATATGTACATTGCCTTTTGTTTTTCCATTCATCTGTTGACGGACATTTAGATTGTTTTCACTTTTTGGACATTCTGAATAACATTTCTACGTGAACGCAAGTTTCTCTGTGCACATAATTTCATTTCTCTTGGTTATATATCTACAACTGATATTTCTGGGTCATCTTGTAAGTATTTCCCCCCTCTGTGATGTTTGGGATCAAGCACAGACTTGAGTACACTAACCACAAGCTGTACCGCTAAGCTGAATCCTCAGCCGATGTCTAACTTTTTGAGGACTTGCTAAAATGTTTTCCACAGTGGCCTCAACATTCCCATCAGCGATGTATTCCACATCCTCACCACTTCATATTTTTCTGTTATTAGTCTTACTGTTGTTGTTGTTGGTTTGTTGAGACATGGTCTCCCTATGTAGTTCAGGCTGGCTTTGAACTCACTATGTAGCCCAGGCTGGCCTCACACTCATGGTAATCCTCCTACCTCAGCCTCTGAGTGCTGGGATTACAGGTGCGCACCACCATGCCTGGCTAGTATTTTCCTTTTTAAAAGAAATGATAGCTACCCTAGCAGACGTGAAATGATAACTCATTGTACTTTTGACTTGCGCTCCCCTCATAACTAACGATGGAGAGTATATTTTCATGTGTTTATTGGAGTTGAAGAAAATGTTTATTCAGATCATTTGTCTGTTTTTCAATTGCATTGTATTTTTTCTATTGTACTGTAAGATTCTTTATATTTTTTAAGCTTATCAGATGTATGATGTGCAGATATTGTCTCTTATTCTATGGGTTGTCTTTTCACTTTTGTGTGAGTGCCCTTTAAAGCACAGCAGTTTTATTTTGATAAAGTTCAGTGTATCTGGTTTTTTCCCTCTGGTTTCTGGTGCTTTTGTTGTTATACCTAAGAAATCATTCCATAACTCCAGGTTATAAAGAATCATGCTATGCTTTCTTTTAAGAGTTTTACAGTTTTAGTCCTTACATTTATGTCTGATCCATATTGAACTGATTTGTATATGATTTGAATTAATGTGACACAGGATAGAACTTCTTCTGGGTGTCTATTTCTCTCTCACTTCTCCAGTGCCACAGCTGCACAAGAATGATATTATGCTGTTATTCTTCAACCACTGGCGTTTGTGTAACTCCCAGTTCCAATCTCTGGCCCAGAACTGAGGTAGCAGGCTTGAAACATTTCCACGTAGGCAACATTTGATAGCTCAAACTTCATTGCCTGTTTATCTTAGTTATTCTCATCTCCGAGATGCAATACCTGACACCCAAAACTCTTAAGAAGGAAAGGTTTATTTTAGCTCATAGTTTGTAAAAGCTTCAGTATCTAATTTAGAAGATGGCAAGGTCACATGGAAGAAAGACACGCAGAGAGAAGCAGTTTATGGCTTGCTGGAGAGAAGCAGAGATCAGTGAAGTAAAGAGAGATATACACTTTAAGGTCAGGGAAAACTAATCCACTGATGAGTGTCACACCCTCACGATCCAGTCACCTCCCTAAACCCTCACTATGAGCACACAAGAATTTAGGAGCACATTTAAATATAAACCATAACACTGATCTTTTGTCCAACGTTAGATGTAAATAAATTCCCTTAGAAAAGGCAATTGAGTGCTTGAAATCCTGAAGAACTCATATGAGAGAGTCAAAATTTGAACCTAGAAAAGATAAACCTGGAAAAAGGAAGTCCTAGGTTTATAGGCACATTTCTGCATCCTTATATTTGTGTGAATATACAAACTCTTGGGGTCTCAATTTCATCTTCGGCAAGTAAGGCATTGTCTTTTAAGTAGTACTAACTTCATAGTGCTTGGTGCCTGTACTTTAATGCCTCTAACTCTTCCAATGACTTTTAAGGCAGGTCAAATCTTCATATCCCAGGACAGGAAAAGGAGACTAGACCTGATAATGACTTGGCAGTGTGAAGTGTGGGCCAAAAACCTGTGCTCTTTCCTCTCAGTTACTCTACATCTCCCAGCCACTTATCCTCCGTCAGCATCAGTTTCCTCACTGTAATAGTCAACAAACATTCTTTGTGGCACTGCAGTGGGCAGAACCATTTCTTTATTGTCAATAGTTTTATTGAGCACCTACAAGATGCCAAACCCTGTTCTAGGTGAGAGTATTAAGGAAGAAAAACACAATCTCTACTCTTGCCACTTATATTCCAGAGTTAGGGAGCAGAACAAAGAAACAAACAACAAATGAAGTAATTTCAGATCATAAAGAAATACCATGTTATGGTGGTCATGGGAACCTTCTTAAGAGATGCTTGTTTGGGTTTGTTTCTAGCCAATGCACCAAAAGCAGGCAAAAAGCAAAGCAAAACAAAAACTCTCAAACAACAAAAATCAAACCAATGAACACAAAAAAGATGATATTTTCAGGGAGACCTGAATCATCCAAAGGAGGCTTATGCAGGAATATCTGGGGTCAGACTGCAGCTGCACAGGACAAAGAAAAGGCCCGAGGGATCCAGCAGCATGTAAGAGAGTGAATGAGATAACATAAGTAACAGTCAAGTAAAGGCTATGGGACTAAGTTAGTGAGGAGAGCTTTCACACTACGACCAATATGTGCCAGCAACACATATTCAGTAAGATAAATACAATCTACATGCACAAGGCACTCGATATATAGAAGACAATAGAGAGATGGCTTTTCAGCTGATAAAAACGGAGCATCCAATCTCAAATTGAAAAGTTAATTCTTATTCATGGTTTTGAAAACGTGCCCTGCAGATGCAGTGATTTTGCCGTAGGAGATTACAGAGATGCCCAGGTTAGAGCGCGGGGTTAATTTTTCCTTTGTAGCCGCTATGGGTTCACGCCTCCTCCGGGCGCTAGGGTGCGCTGCAACATTCCTCAACTGGTGGTGCCGCGCTCTTCCCCACTTCCCTTCTCACTGCTCAGCACTTCCGCTGCCCAGCGGAAGCAGGGACGGTGAGCCGCGGGCGCCGCGGTCCCGAAGCATGGCGGGGGCGGGGCCGGGGGAGGTGTGCGTGGAGTAGGTTGGGGTATCCCTCGCCCCGGCCCCTTGAGCCAGGACCTGACAGGTGAGGACCTATTATTTTTGGCCCAGCCTCCAAGCCAGTCAGACGTTCCCTGGGATGCTCCTCCCTGCATGACATCGAGGCCCCAAGACCCCCAGCCGTCCCACACTATTTTCTTCCCATTGAGGCCCCGCCCCGTTCTTTTCTTTCCGGGGGCGCCCCCTTAGGCGTGTTTGTCCGCCCCTTGACATCCTTTACTCTTTCTACAAGCCATCTCAAGGAACTGAGGGATAGGTGCACCTTCTGCCGTGGGGAAAGTGATACTTAGTAAGGGCAAAGAACTTAGTGCCATACGGTGAGTTAGTGGCCCTATTCAGCTAGACTTTCTTCTTCCATTCCGTAGAGGACTGAGATGCTTACTTTGTGGCAGCAGCACCAGAGCTGGGATCTGAGAATATCGAGGTGAACAAAGTAGCCATAGTTATTTCCTGTACGGAGAGTACAGTTTAACAGGGGAATCAAACGCTAAACAACCATGCAAGTGAAAGTATAAACACAGATTGTGACATTTACTGTGGAGGAGACAAACAATGGCAAGTTTGGATTTAGTTAGGGGACATGGAAGACTTCCTGAAGGAAATGACATTCCTGTTGCAATTTGAGAAGTTTTGACTTGGGCTGGGGGAAATACATTTGTAGATCTCTTGATTCAGGCCCAGTGTTTGAGAAGGGATGTTTGCTGTGTGTCAAAACCCTGCTGAGCATATGGAATATGATGTTTGTGTACTGGACCTGTAGAGCTCTTCACTGGTTCATGAAGGCCATGGACACAAATAAAATACAGAGGCAGAGTTGTATATATAACAACAGGTGAAGGAGAAGTATACTGCTATACTGGAATTTTATTTAATGGAGGAGTGAAGGAAGGTTGCCCTGATGAAGTGATGATTAAACTGATAGGTAAAATAGGTTTTAGCAAAGCCAGGAGAACTTCTGTAAAAGGCCAGATGGGCAATGAGCCTTGTGGTTTTGGTCGCACCTACTCATTTCTTCTTTCTTAGGGCAAAAGCAGGTTTAGGCAGTATGTAAATGAATGGGTATGGCTGTGTTCATGTGAAACCTTGTTTACAAAAGCGAGGCAGGGCTTGGTGGCATACACATAGAATGACAAGTTTGAGGCCAGCTTGGATAACAGTGAGACCCCCATCTCGAATAAACAAACAGGGAGGTGGGTTAGATTTGGCCCAGAGGAATAGCTTACAAGAGACTGTCCACTGAGCTACATCCTCTCCACTGCACTGTGGCTTTGATTTACATTTCTCTGATGATAAATGATAATACATCCTATCATTTGCAGTTTTGGCCATTTGTATGTCTTTGGAGAAATGTGTGTTCAAGTGCTTTGCCAGTTTTAAATTGGATTTTAATGAGTTTTAGTTGAAAGTCTAGAAGCTCTTTATATAATCTAGATATTAACTCTTCTGTGGTTTTGTTTTTTGAGACAGGGTCTTACTACATAGTTCAGGTTGACTTTGAACTCACTGTATAGCCCAGGCTGGCCTAGAACTGGCAGCAATCCTCCTCCTCCTCAGTGTCCTCTGTGCTGGGATTACAGGTGTGTGCTACCATGCCCAGCATCTATATATTAACTCTTTATTAGATATATAATTGGCAAATTTTTCCTGGCATTCTGTAGTTTGCTTTTTCATTCTGTTGAGAACACTATGTCATTTGATAAACAGGAGTTTTAAAAACTGATGTATTCTCATTTGTTTATTTTTTTGTTGCCTGTGCTTTTTGGTGTCCTATTCCCCTTCCCCTCCACAAAAATCGCTAAATCCAGTGTCATGGAGCTTTCTGCCATGTTTTCTTTTAGTTTTATATTACAGATAAGATGTTTAGTTCTTTAATCCATCTTGAGTTAATGTTTAGTAATGGTTTAAGGGTCCATTTTTCTCTTTTGCAAATGAATATACATATTTTTTAAAAGTATCCTTTGCTGAATGCTATAATTCTCAAAACCATTTAATCACATGTATGAGGGTTTTCCTGGGCTATCTCTTCCATTGGTCTAATAGTACCAGGATTTTAAGATTACAGTGACTTTGTAATATATTTTGAAATCAAGCAATAGAGCCCTCCATTTTTGTTATTTTTCAACAATATTTGGAGTCTCACAAGATCCCACATAAATTTTAAGATGAATTTTTCTGTTTTTGCAAAAAGTGGGATTTTTGACACGGATTGCTTTGGATCCCGCAGATTGCTTTAGGTAATTTCAGCAGTCTAGTAAATATTTTTGCTTGTATGAGTGTACATGGAATGTGATTGTTATTTGTACTGTTCAAATGTGAGGCACTTGTGTGTTTATTCTGTTGATCATTACTGTTAGCATGCTTGGAAAGTATTCTTTATGAACTATGTCCTTTCTCACACCTGTTTCTAGCCTTAGAAATAACACATTGCCATGGTGCACATCTTTAATTCCAGCACTCGGGAGGCTGAGACAGCAGGATCGCTGTGAGTTAAAGGCCAGGTGGGCTACAACATGAGTTCAAGTCCAGCCTGCAATGCATAGTGGTACCCTGTCTCAAAAAGACCCCCCCTACCCAAAATGTCAGCACCACTTTCTGACAGTTAGTGAAAGAGGAATGCTGATTACTGTCAAGTTTAGAATGCCTAGGGTGAAAAAAAAGAAAATATAGGACGAGACATATATACATTGTTTGTTTGTTTACTCTCTTAACTTTTGCTGTATTTTCCATGCAGAAATGTGATCATGGATCATCATGTTTCCACCATCAAACCTCGAAGAATCCAAAACCAGAATGTCATTCATCGCTTGGAACGTCGGCGAATCAGTTCAGGCAAGGCAGGTACCCACTGGCACCAGGTCCGAGTGTTTCACCAAAATGTCTTCCCCAACTTCACAGTTGTCAACGTTGAAAAGCCACCTTGTTTCTTACGTAAATTCTCACCTGATGGACGCTACTTTATTGCTTTCTCTTCTGACCAGACTTCCCTTGAAATCTACGAGTACCAGGGCTGCCAGGCAGCAGAAGACTTACTGCAGGGATATGAGGGGGAGATCCTGTCCAATGGCAATGACCAGCGGTCAGTCAACATCCGGGGCCGGCTCTTCGAACGCTTTTTTGTCTTGCTGCACATTACCAATGTTGCGGCCAATGGCGAGCACCTGAACCGGGAGTGTAGCCTCTTCACCGATGACTGCCGGTGTGTCATTGTGGGCTCTGCGGCCTACCTCCCGGATGAGCCCCACCCTCCTTTCTATGAAGTGTATCGCAACAGTGAGTCAGTGACCCCCAGCCCACGGTCCCCACTAGAGGACTATTCCCTGCACATCATTGACCTTCACACTGGCCGCTTGTGTGATACGCGCACCTTTAAGTGTGATAAAGTGGTCCTGTCACACAACCAAGGGCTGTACTTGTATAAAAACATCCTGGCCATCTTGTCTGTGCAGCAGCAGACCATCCATGTCTTTCAGGTGACCCCTGAAGGCACCTTCATTGACGTGCGGACCATAGGCCGCTTCTGCTATGAGGATGACCTGCTCACTGTGTCGGCTGTCTTCCCTGAGGTGCAGCGGGACAGTCAGACAGGCATGGCCAACCCCTTCAGGGATCCGTTCATCAACTCCCTGAAGCATCGGCTGCTTGTTTATCTGTGGCGCCGGGCAGAGCAGGATGGCAGTGCAGTGGCCAAGAGGCGTTTCTTTCAGTACTTTGACCAGCTGCGGCAGCTGCGCATGTGGAAGATGCAGCTTCTGGACGAGAACCATCTGTTTATCAAGTACACCAGTGAGGACGTGGTGACTCTGAGGGTCACAGACCCGTCTCAGGTATGGGTGAGTTCTCCTGCCCTGACGCTGTCTGTCTCCTTGGAGATGGCATGGTTTCTTGCAGCCACTAGGTACCTGTCAGGACTACACATTTTATGTTGTCTAAATTGTTGGTGTCCTACGGCCCAAACTTAAAACAAGCTTCTTTCCCTCTGAGCATGTTCATTGATCTGGACAGGTAGAAGGTAAATCTTAAGCCGACGGTGCGTAGTCAGTCACCTGTGTGATTGTCATCCTTGTTCTTCTGGGAGCAGTCTCAGTACCTGGAGATGGAGACCCAGATGCCGTAAAGTCAAAGCTGACTACTTTTAAATAATTCTGCTTTGGTTTTGTAAGACTGCTAATCAAGCTGGCTGCTTGGCATTGACAATGAGCATGAGCACTCAAATGCAAAAGAGAAAGTCCTTTAAAAATCTGTCCCTTTCTGTTCTTTATTTTCCAGTCTGCCTTGGAGGCAAGGCTGATGATCACTGTGTAATTTCATATTCACATAATTACGAGACATCTTAGTAAAACCATGATATAATTAAACCCTGTCTGGGACTATAGAGAGGACATAAGTCAATTTTTATTTAAGGTTGAGCTACAATTACCTTCTTTTTTTTAAGATGGAATAAGTTGTCTGTGATCTCTGCACTTGAGATTATCCTTTTGTCCTTTGCCAACAGGTGACCTTTTTTTCTGGTAGCTACAATAAGATGTAGTTAGAAGGACTACTAAGACTGTGTCCTTTAGTTGCAGAGTTTGTAACTCTACACCCAATCTCTCTGCCCCAGTTGGCCTCGTCTCTCCTCCCCCAGTTTAATTTGATCAGTTCCAATAAGGTCGGTGTGTAAAAAGTACATCTAAACACAAAGCCTTGGTAACATTATGGGCATTATTCTCAGGTTGCTTTCTAGCCTTTTTAATTTAAAGCCAAATTTAATTTCCAGGTGACTGCAAAAGCTATGAAATAGGACCTCTGGGAAGGACTAATTACTAATACAACAGGTGGGCCAAAAGGCTCCAGAAATTGGTAGTGGAGATTTAAATTCAATCAGAGCAGGGTGAAATACTAATCCCAGTATTCTGAAAACTTCTAGAGTCCTGTTGAGAGCTTACAGAATAATTCACACTGCTACATTCACTGTGATAAAGATTAGGGGTTCCTGGGGCTTCCTGTGGGAGAAGCAGAGCATTGGAGGTTTAAAGGAAGAGGGCTGTCTCTCCAGGGCCCATTCAGAAAAAGTAGTAACTCTGCCACCTATGGCATCTGAATGCTTTTCAGGTTCCCCTCTGATCTTAATTGCTCCAAACCTCAAATGTATTTTACAAATACTCTGGGCTGAAAGAACATTTTGAAGGAAGAAATGGAAAATGTCTCTCTGATTTTTCATTTGTTCAGCAGCAGTACCCTGCATGGATACAACTTGCTTGAGCAGTTTTAGGACACAATGTACTTAAGACGTCTCTCTGCATGTTAGAAATATTAAGAGGGAAAAATAAATACCCCTGAATTGGACTTTCAACTGTACACATACAAGAGAAAATCATTTGCCAACAGGCAGCCCCAGGCTGCAAATCACTTTCTCAGCAGGAAAGAAAATTAAATCTGGCATTTTAAAAAAGTTTTTTTTTAAATCTCAAAATGGGTTGGGAAGCAAGTAAGGAATAAACATTTGGAATGAAAAATACCGAATTTGCGCAGTTTGAATTGAGGAGTTGGAAATCTTTTTATACAAATGTGCTGCCCAACTCTGTAATTCTAGCAGGACAGAAGCAGTGGGAAATCTGTCCACACTGAGGCTGTCTATTGATAAGGCGTCTGGTGCTTCCTGTCTTGGCCATCAGGAGTCACGCGTCCACCTTGGTTCTAGAGCAGAGGTGCTCACTTGTTTTATTTGGGTGGTGAGGATTTTAAGCCAAGTGCTATTTCCTAGGCATTTCTTTACACCTAGCTGTTCCTTAGCACTCGCTTTTCTTCTGCAGGCATCTTTCTTTGTGGTGTACAATATGGTGACAACTGAGGTGATCGCTGTGTTTGAAAATACATCAGATGAACTTCTGGAGCTCTTTGAGAACTTCTGCGATCTATTCCGCAATGCTACTCTGCACAGTGAAGTCCAGTTTCCCTGCTCAGCCTCTAGCAATAATTTTGCAAGGCAGATCCAGCGCCGGTAAGCTCTTCTTCAGGCTTAGCAGTCTTTAACTTTAAAGAAAAAAATTTCTTAACTTGTTGAGGTTAGGCCCATAGTTGTTTTCTCCAGGACCCTTTCTCCTCTTCTCCCTGCCCACCAGGCCTTGGTTGGGTCTGCCTGTTACTGTAACCAGCCCTTTTTGTCATCCTGAACTTCTGTCTTGACACCTGTTGAATTAAATTATTTGTCAGGCACATGCTTATGCTGCTGTGGTATATCCTTGGCCCCTGGAATTAAATTATTTGTGTATTGAATTTTTTTTTTTTTAATCTTTTTCTTTTTAATCGGTACCGGGTACCGAACTCACGACTGTCTGCTTGCAAGGCAGGCGCTTATGCTGCTGAGCTAAATTCCCAGCCCCCGTGTATTGAATTCTTATTAGAACATACATGACTTGCAGAAAGATACTGTGTCTGTTTATTTATTCATCCTAGTGGTGCTTTGTCAAGCACTTAAATATTTGTTGAAAGAATAATTAAAGAAATGATTTTAGAACTTTTAGTTAAATGTGATATATTGAACACATGTATTTATCTGTTCTTTTGCCAACTCTAGTAAAACAACAATAAAGAAATAAAAGATTCAAATCTCTAAGAATAAAGAGAATGAGAGAGGAGACATAGGGAGGCAGGAAAGTTTTGGAAGCTGAAAAGCCAACAGATGAATGATAACTGACCTAGCAGACTGAGGGCTGTAAAATTTAGTCATCAACAAACATGTTTACCTTACAAAAGCCAGAGAATTGTGGAAAGGATAAGAAAGTTGGAGGCCAGGGTACCTCTGAAGGTACCTGTGAAGTACCCAGGCTGAAATCAGGAGGGTTGGTAAGTTCTTAAAAGTATCAAATCAGATCCTTTAGATCACTGCCCTAAACTAAGTCATTTAAAGGGCTGCAAGTTTAGTCTTTATTTTTGCAGTATTGGGGATCGAACTCATGATCTCGCGGTTGCCAGGCAGGCACTTACGCCACTGAGCTAAATTCCTGGCCCCTATTCTTTCAACAAATCGAGCCAAGTTCATGAGACAGAGCTGAGAATGGAATGAGAAGCATCATTACTAAAAACTGAAATTAATGAAAGTGACATTTCACTGGGCAAGACTCCCATCTGGCTTCCCAGATACAGCATCCAGGCTTATAGCCCTGGGCGAGAGTAATTTTCTCTAGGAAAACAAACCAACCCAAAGAAGAGACTTTCAAATACTGACTTTTGGAATTCTTTCACAAAATACCTGGACCACTAAACAGACAATAGCAGTTAGCAAGGTCCTCTTCTGAACTAGAGCTTCTAACAATTACCTTAGTACATTATTGTGAAAGGAGTGATTCCTCTGGGCTCAGTTCTGCCCTTGTGAGGAAGGGCCTCTTTGGGTTTCACACACTTAAATTATTTTATCCTTAGTCTGGGCCCCATGATAGACCAGACCACAGTAAATGGATGAATCAGAATAAGCATTACTGCTGTTGGGAAAAATGAATGAGTCAAGCAGATATCCTAATGTACTGGTATCATATTTATGTAAAAGGATCCCCTCACTGGAAATAGAAGAATACTAATACTCAGATTACCGATTGCTTTTTCCTTTTTCTCTGGTACATATAATCTGCCTTAACATCTCTATTCTCTATGGGAATTTTTGGCAGTATAACATGGCTCAGATTTTACTGTTTTCATTATGGAATGAACTCTATCCTTCCTTTTCTTCCTTCCCACCACCTCCTGCCCTGCTCCGTTCTTTTCCTTTTTCCTTTTTTCTGGTGGTGGTGGTGGTGGTGGTGGTGGAGGTGGTAGTGGTCATGGAGGTGGTGGTGAGGAACGAGCCCAGGAGTGAAGGTAAGCTCCATGAAGGCAGGAACTTTTATCCGTTGTATTCACTGCTGCGTCTCTAACACCAAGGCCAGTGTCTGTCATGGGGGAGGAGCTCATAGGTGTCTGTTGAATGAGTAAAGGATTTGGACAAAACTTTTTTCTGAAAACTGTTTCCCAATAGCTTCCAGAGGTATTCTGAAATAGTTTTCAGAAAACAGCTAGCTCCTAGAAAAGAAGATAAAGGTTGAAGACAGAGATTGCAAATTCTAGCTCTGTGGCTCTTTGAAGAAAATTTTGCTTCATTCTACCAGAGGATTTTGCAAAACTGTAGATTCTCTCAGATATTTTTAAACTAAATTCTCAAGTTTTCAAACTATTATTACTGAATTTCAAAAGGTTGTAGAAAATGCCATTTGTAGTGTATATTAAATATTGACATTTAAAAATAAAATTAGTGCTTAATTGCCAGAGCCACAAAAAAATATTACAACACTATTTTAGTATAGGCAAAGCAATCTAAATACCTTAGTAGTTTGGTGTTCAAATTGTCTTATATAGAAAATACAGAGCAAATTATTCCCTATATATTGGAACTTTTACATCGCTTCTTCATATTTTAAAGTTCATATATCACTCTGTCTCCCCTACAGAAATTTATCTTAACATATTTTGTGGACTACCCTCTTGTACTTTATTATTAAAAGCAGTATATATAGAAGCAAAGTTATTTTTTGTTTATTGTGAACATATGGCTCAAAATGCTGAATTTTATGGTAATCTTGATTAAAATAAGATGAGTCACTTGTATGTCCAAAAGTTTAAAAAAAAAATGACACTAAGGATGAGAGTCTTTACCTTAAAAATGACCAAATTTAAGTAGAATTAAGGAACAAGGAGTAGAGGCAATGCTGCTTTTACTGAAAGAATTCAAAGTGGAGGGACAGGAGCATTCCTAGAAGTGGGAAGCTGTTGAAAACTTAAAATGCGTTAGATATAGTCAAGGAACTCTATGAAAATGGAATAAAGAGATACAGGAAATAAGCAGTAAAAAGAAAAGTGAGAGGATCTGCCCATGAAAGCCAGTGTGTGGCTATTTCAGAAGCAGCCATACAAGAAGAAAGGGAAGAAACTCGAGGGGCAGTTTTCCAAGGCCTCACGTCCCAGATTGCCCAGGCTGTCCCGTGCTTGCTGGCGGTGGCTTATGCTGGTTCATGAGAGCCCACTGTTACACTCTTAAGTGTTTTTGCAAGCTGATTGCTAAACACAACGTTGTTAAAATTTCATCATTTCCTGAGAAAGTATAGGAAAGCAAAAAATAGAGAGGAAAGCCCAGAATCTCTTACTCAAATACAACTATTAACATCTTAACATATTTCTGGCAGTCTTCTTTTTTAAAAAAGGCTTTTTATTTTCTTTGTGTTTTTAATCTTACCTTATAGGCAGAATTAATATAGCTCACTTCTTTTGCTTACCATTATGATTAACAGTTTTCCTGCTACCATATAATCTTTGAAAATCGTAGTTTTCCATTAGGTTTTAAAAGTTTTCATTGTCTTAGACAAGAAAGTACTGGATGTCACAGAGACTCGCCTGCCTGTCTGAGTGCTTTCTCCTGATAAGCAGTATTAGGTGGGTAGATGTGCAACTCTGTGCCTGCCAGTGTTCTTTCAGGAACCTGCAGCATTGTGGAGGTCGCTTTTTCTCTGAACACAGAGTGAGTAGTTTGTCCAGGGTCTGGGGGAAGTGGGCTCTAAGGAAAGGCAGAGAGGCAGCTTCTGCTCCAGATCCCCCGTGTTCCTCCCCTCCTTCCTAATTCAGTCTGTTATTTGAGGAAAGTAAGTTCTTGACTTCCTTTTCCTAGTTGAGCTGTTATCAAAAGGAGCACAAATAGTTGTTGTAGACAAGTTACACTTGTCTGAAACTTGTTTGTAGAGTTGGTGGGAACTTCTCTACAGTAATTTAATGTTCACATTTCTGTTTCCTGCATTTTTAAGAGTGTCTGTACCTACCTTGACTCTGCTGTATAAAAGAGTTCTATCTTTGGGCAGAGATTTAGCTCAGCAGCTTAAGCACCTGCTTGGCAAATGTGAGGTTGTGAGGTTGATCCCTGGTACTGAAAAAAAAAAAAGAGTTCTGTCTTCATTCAATACGTAGGGTTAATCTTTATTTAGAGGATGAGTGCTGTTTAAATTCATGTTTTTCTATTTAAAGTTCCAGGCAGCTGTGGAGAAAGCCTTCCTCATGGGTGCTTTATTTTAGGTTCAAAGACACGATTATAAATGCCAAGTATGGAGGGCACACAGAGGCGGTACGCCGGCTGCTGGGTCAGCTCCCCATCAGTGCCCAGTCTTACAGTGGCAGCCCCTACCTGGACTTGTCCCTCTTCAGCTATGATGACAAATGGGTGTCAGTCATGGAGCGACCCAAGACCTGTGGAGACCACCCTATCAGGTACTGTGTTACCGCCTCAGCTGCAGACTGTGCAGGGGCTCAGGGTGGCCTGCTTTCTCGCCCTGTCTTCCCTGACAGCGTTCATAGCGCTGCCTCCACCGTCCGTGCCTTTGGGTAGCCTGCAAGGGCAGGCTGTCTGTGATTGGTGAGTGTTTTGGTCACTGAGATTCTAGTCTGAGAAATTAACTACCGCTACTGTTTGCTTCCCACTAAGACATCTAATTCAGACAGGTGTTTTCTCCTTTTAAAGATACCAAGGGAAAGAAATAATACTTTCCCATTAATAATCTAATACCATTGCATAATAGTTTTGCAGTTGAGACTTCATTGTGATATCTGACTCAACTATTTTATCCCTCCTGTTACTTAATAGAAAAGATATTAGAGATAGCTTGAAAAGTAGGCAGACTTAGGAGAGAGCTGTGCTTCCTCTCCGGGAGGGATGTTGGAGTTTCTCACTGGGACCTGAAGCCAACCTCTTAGTCCTCTTAGTTTGGTTGTTTGCAGACCCTTCTGTCTCTATATCTGGAGCCTTGGGATGTGCCAGCTGTGAGGAGGAGGAGCTGGCACCACTGTTGCTAATGGGTTTCCTGGTAGGGAGAGACTTGTGTTCCTGGAACCCTAAGCACACTGAAACTGGTGATTAGATCCTTAGAGTAGGTGCCTTTCATCATTCATCTTCATTTTGCATTAAGTAGGTCTGTGTAAGCCAGGCATGATGGTGTACGCTTGTTACCCCAGTACTCAGGAGGCTGAGGCAAGAGGTTTGCCATGGGTTTGAGGCCAGCCTGGGCTACCTGGTGAGTTCAAGGCCAGCCTGAACTTCATAGCAAAACCGTGTCTTAAAGAAAACAAAATAAATAAATAGATAAGTAAATAGGTCTGTGTATTATACTCTGTACAATTAATCATTCCTTTGGGAGTTTGCAGTCACATTCCAAACACCAATTAAAACAAGTTTTTACTGTGTAAGTTTTAAACTTCCAGGAAAATAGAAGAGTGTGACCACCCACTGTGTCCTGATTTTCAGCTGGTGTCTAGTCTTATTCCATCTCTCTAAACCACCAAGACTTCCTTCTGCACTGCTGCCCTGGATTATTTTGTAGAAAATCTCAGTTACCCAAGCATCTTACCTGTAAATACTTCAGAATGAACTTCTAAAGGACAAGAGCTTTAAAGTGCAACAACAAACAGAATGTGGTGGCAGCTACTTCTAATCCCAACATAGTGGGAGGCTGAGGCAGGAGGAATATCCCCAGTTCAACTCTAGCCAGGGTGATTTAACAAGACCTTGTCTCAAGAAACCAAAGAAAAAAGCAAAAAACAAAAAAACAAAAACTAGGGATTTAGGTCAATGTGAAGGCCCTGGGTTCGATCCCCAGTATCCAAAGAAAAGCAAGAACAAAATTCCTTAACAAGCGAATGTGGTGGTGCGTGCCTGTAATCCCCGAATTTGGGAGACTGAGGCAGGAGGATTACTGAGAATTCGAGGCCAGCCTGGGCTACAAAGTGAGTACAGTCCCAATCTCAAAAAAAAAAAAAAATTCTTAACGTATCATCCCATTTTGAGAAAATTAATCGAAACTTACTAATTCCACCAGGTAGCCAGTTTTCCCAACCTTTACTTGTTGTCTTGTAATATTCTTCCCCAGGGTCTCTGTGGAGTTCCTAGACTGGTGTTTGGTCAGCGTTTCTGCAGTCTCTTTGCTCTCTGGGTTCGGCTTCCCTTTTGTTTTCCGTGCAGTGAGATTGTTGTGCATCCTGCGGTGTCCCCACGTTCTGGGCCCTGCCCATCACATCCCGTATTTCTCATCTCCCGGGCCCTGTGCAAACAACTCCCATGAAATGCCAGGCTCTTGTGAGTCCGGACTGTGCGACTAGGGTGAATGTGCTTTCTACACATAAAAGCACATAATGGGCCTCATCCGATGTACTCAGGAGCTAGAGATACATTTGTCCTTTCTGACTTCCCTGCCTGCTCATTTGTAAGGATGAGTCTAATAATGCATCTGGCAGTGCTACTGCCTATGACTAAAAAGGGTTTTCTTGTAATTCTTGCGTATTTTAATTTAAATGTAAAATATAGGGATATTAAAGGCATTTGAAGAGATAAGGCCGTTACTGTAGCCTGTTTACATTTGCTACAGTTGTAATTAGGCTTAGTGTCATAGTTTATACTGTTTTTACTGTCTAAACATTTTTCTGTTCTGTTCTATCATCTTCACAATCATAGACCTAATGATGGCAGGCATATCATCCCTTTGAGTAGGCGTGCCATAATTTATTTAACTGTTCCCCTATTGCTGACCATTTACCCTTTTTATGGATTTTTGTATTAGTGTGACTGCCCTACTAGCCGTCTTTCTTTCCCCTTTGAACTGGGTCTCACTCTTTTGACTACGCAGTTCTCAAACCTGTAGGTTCAAGTGTTCCTCCTGCCTCATTCTTCCAAGCACCAGGGACTGCAAGTGTGTGACACTGGGCCCAACTTTTCATGGTCATTTTTAATCATGTCACTACTTGATTTAACTTCAATTCTGAGGATATGAATTTGAGGAATAAGATTATTTCATTGTCTGCTTATGTATTTGTTTTCCAAAAGGAAAATTAGAGAGCTGTGTAATTCGGGGCTGTCCCTGTCCTAGCACTTGCCTCTGATGCAGCCCTGCCTGCCAGTCAGCTCTAGTTTCTCCAGCCACAGGTCATTTACTTTGCATGTGAGCAAAGGTGGGTAAGTAGCAGGATGCAGGAAGGTTATCTTTACTCTTACTGTATTAGATGGAAGGTTAAAAATGACTTAGTACTTTGTTTCTGTGATTGAAAAAGAACCTCCCAAAAGAATTTATTCTTAAATGTGAAGACTCATAAAGATGGGCTTAGAGCCAGGCTGTCTTGTGTGGTAGCCGCTCGTCACATGAGCTGTCTCCCTGAAGTGAGTCAGAGTTGCGATGTGTTCAAGTGTCACATCAGATTTCAGACATTCAGGAAAAAGAAAAAATAGGTAAAATACCTTGTTAATATTTTTATATTGATTTCAGGGTGAAATTGTATTTTGGATATATTGGATTAAATATATTAAAATCAATTTCATCCTTTTAAAAACTTTTTAAAAATATGGCTACCTGGAAATCTAAAATTATATGTGTGTCTTAGGTTTGTGGGTTGTGTCTCATTTCTAGTCCTGGCCCACACACTGGTTAGGCAGGAACTCATGGAAGTGAGAAGGCTATAGTTTAGGTATAACCAGGGGTCATCTTGGGAAATAGAAATGACCATGACACAGGACAGCATAGTAAAATTTCATAACCACTGTCCTAACATGACCGAGGTGCCGAGGTGATGCTAAGTCAGGACGGATGTACCGTGAGGTTCTTAGATAGAAGGGTGACTCCCCACACCACTGCTGTTCAGATTTCATGGTGGCAGTGAGTCTCACCCCCATCCTGTCTCTGTTCCCTTTGTCTCTTTAGGTTCTATGCCCGGGACTCTGGACTGCTCAAGTTTGAGATCCAGGCCGGCCTACTGGGCCGCCCCATCAACCACACAGTGCGACGCCTTGTTGCCTTCACCTTTCATCCTTTTGAGCCTTTTGCCATTTCTGTGCAGAGGACTAATGCGGAGTATGTTGTCAACTTCCACATGCGACACTGCTGCACGTAGGTGCCTCACCGCAGCCAGGTTGTCTGGCCTTGTAGCACTTGGCCTGCTTCTTTTCTCAGTGGACTCTGCAGGAGTACCCTGCCCACCCTGTGGGTTGCAGGCTGGCTGACCAGAGAGAGAAGCAAGCAGCTCAGCCTAATGGGATGTTTGTTGTAAACAGTACTACTGCCAGTCAATTGAGGTCCTTTGCCTTTTCCCTGTGGGAATGCTCAGCATTAATTAAATCCACTTAATTTTTGTTTATTTAGCATTGTAGTGCTGTGAAGATAAAGCATTACACCTTTGCCTCCTTTATCTCACTTCCTTGGCATTATGGTTTGCAGCCTGAAGCAGGTAAATCCTGTTTACACACGGGAGCTATGTATGTCCTCTGCTCTTACCCAATAAGCAGAGCTATCTTTATAAGACAAAATTAAAGCTTTGGTATTTTCTTACTTGAATATATCCCATTTGATGACTCTCTTATGTTCCTGTCACACTGATGCTTTTTGAGTGCCTGGGTTCCAAGTGGGACTGGAAGAGACGGCAGCTGCTCCTGAGAGCACTGAGTGGTGAGTGCCAGCATGGAAGACAGTTATCTGCCAGGACTGTTCTCTTCCCGAGGGTTTTCGCCTGGTAATTGTCACAGCTGGGGGAGCACGGTGTAATTGCACAGTCTCATACAGAAGCATGCTCAAGTCTGCACCATCTGTGTGGGGCAGGTGGGAGACTGAGCACGCCTCACCCGCCATAGCAGAGAAAAGCACTGGGCAGCACGTTTTGTCCTTTGGGTAGGAGGGGCTGGCCAGCTCCAGGTGTCCCTAAAGAGATGTGCCCTGAGTGGCTGAGCTGTCACAGCTGTCCTTCAGATACCTGCTGACCTTCAGCCTTCATTCTTTTGTTACATTCTCAGCCAGTCTCTTCCAGGGGGCTTATCAGACTGTTTATATTTCATCAGCATAATGAGTCCTGCAGTAATGTAGGCAGCTGTTTAGCAGTATCTGCCTCTGAAGGCAGCTTTGAGATACTGTGCTCCAGAGTAGGCTGGAAAAGGAGCTGTGGCTGCAAACAGCTGGACGCTTTATTCCTTCCACTGTCCTGATTATTTCCGTTGGGGCAGAAGGTGTGATGCAAGATGCTGAGCCTCACAAAACAGTTTGGCTAATTTAATTCTCTTCAATAGTGAACAGCTAAATCCGTTCTCTCTTAGCCTGCAATGCAAGATTTAAGCACCTACTGTGAGTCAGGTAGATGCTGTATCACATGCTAAAGGGATCATCATAATACAACTTGGTAAAAACTCTGTTGGTGACTCCCTGAGGACACTGGAGGGATGAAAGCGAGGCAAAGGAGGAGAGGAATCCCAGGGAAGCGACACTGGGACCAGGTAGAAGGGAGTGTGTGGTGTCACCCAGGTTGAGGCTCTTTCAAGGAGCATATTGATAAAGGCATAGACACAAGAACAGGGCCACTGTGGTCAGCTGAGTTGGGTAATCTGATAGGGCCACAGCATACACTGGGGTTGGGGAGGGGCAGAAGTGCTTGAAAGGCCGGCGGAGGGAGATCGTGAAGAGAAGTGTGCACAGCGCCAGGCCTTTCTGCAGAGGAAAGTGTGATGGGAAGTTCACCCAGGTAACAGCAGTGTGGAGAGTGGGTTCGAGGGGAGAGAGTGGAGCAGGGGAGGGCAGATGAGCCAGGTGGTCACCGGAGAACAGAAGGGCCTGGATGATATGACTGGCGCTTGGGAGGTCATGGAAAATGCAGGGTCCCAGAGCTGGGGGACCTAATCGTGTATTTACATCACTGTACCTCTCATTGCCATGGAGTTTGTCACGTGAACAGCTTTTGTCTGTAGAAGGCACTTGGCCTCAGTAAGTACCTGAAGACTTGGTAGAGTGGCGAGGTTGCTCAGTGACTTCTGGTGACTCAGTGTATTCTGGCCCTTCTGCTCGTGAGCTGTGTGTCACCCTGAGATTTAATTTGTGTTCCCTTCCACGTTAGTCACACGTTGATCTGGTGGTACCTTCCATCTCCCACCAACTCTGCCGTCCAGCTCTGACCTCACCCAGCAGCCTCTCGCCTGTTCACTGTACTCACCCACCACAGCCTTGCTGGGATAGCGGCTTCTGCCTTAGCTGTCAGCCAGCCCCCGGGCCTCTCCTGATTCCTTAGCCTAGGTGCAGGCTCTGTGGCCCACCCTTACGTTATCTTCCACTTCCTTGCTGCTCTGACTCCTTCGTACTCATTTGGAAGCACCCCAACTCTGCATGTCCGGGAACACCTGAAACTTGCTGCAAAAAAATCATGTCCGTGCTTAAGTCCGTGGCTGCAGACCCACAACAGCCGCTCGGCACGCTGAGGGACCCTGATGCATGCTTTTGACCGACTTACTTGCTCTTTTCCTGCAGCTGCTGTTTAACGCCTTCACCTTTCTTTTTGAAATTCCCGTTCCTCGGCTGGTCACCTTGCCACCTCCTTTTTGGCAGAAATAGAAACAGAGAGTTCTTTTCCCTTTCCTGTGTGTGCCTGTTGATCCTGACTGTCATCTTGACTGGATTAAGAGACCCCTAGAGAGGTAGTTGGATTATGAGGTGCTAACCCATAATCCAGATGAGGAGTTACCCCACTGATGGGTTCACAGTTGAACGGACCAGTAGGAGGTGGCACCTTCTGGGAGGAAGTGGGTCAGGGATCTTGGCTTTGGGGACTGTATCTGGTCCCTGGCTCTTTTCTTTTTAGCTCCCTGCTGCCTCGTTGTCATGAGTTTAGCAGCTTTTCTTCATCATGTGCTTCCATTGTTTCTGCCTGAGAGCACCTGACTGGCCTGAAGCCATGAGCAGAAGCTAAGACTCTGCTCCTTTCATTTGTGGTCCTGCGATGTAAAGCTGACAGTGACTTAGGCTGGCACTTCTGTCCTGCCTTTTCTCCTGTTCCAGGGAATAAAATAGCTTTGCTTCTCAGAAACATCACGCCCTCTACCTGGCCACTGAATCCTTTCTCCTTTTGACTTCAAAAAGCTCCAAACTTTGTTCCTAAGATTATTTTCCTTTCTTGCATGGCCTCTCTTGTGGTAGGTCATCCTCGCTGGCATTCTGATATGAGTGATGCAAACAGCCTTCTGTGGCATGCATGCTGTGGGTTTGCCACCACTGCTTTAGGACTTAATTAACATCTTTACAGTTTCCTGCGGTGGGCCCTCCCTCACCTCCAATGACTGTCCATTTCCCTGTTACCTTTCACAGCAAAACTCCTCAAAAGAGTTGTCTAGAACACTCCTCTCTCTGTGTTCTATTTTTCCATAACCCACATCAGAAAATTTTCTGTCTTCACCATTCCACTGAAACTGTAGTCTTTACAGTGGCCCTTTGTGTACCTCTTAATTCAATTTCCCAGTGTTGGAGAGAGTTGGTTTCCCTCTGTATTCAGATACTTTTGGTTCTTCTGGTTTCTAGGGCAGCACTTCTTTCTGGATCCCCTCCTCCTCCATGAAGTTTACTTCTTGTTCTCTGCTGGCTCCTTGTCATGTGCTTACCTTTAGCTGTTGAAATGCCCCAGCCCTTGGTCTTAGGTTTTTACTTTTTTCTCTATATTATTCTTTAGTTGATTGCATCAATTCCCATAGTGTCAAATTCTGGCCATGTACCGATGACTCTCAAAGCTGTAACTCCAGGCTAGGCGTTTAGCTCAGCACTTGCCTGGCAAGCACAGGGTTATGAGTCCCTAGTACAAAAAATAAAAGAAAAAGCTGTAACTCTATCCTTGACCCTGTCCTTAGCTCCAGCTCATGTGTTCCATGACTTACATGCCATCTTCATTTGGATATAACAAGTATTTCAAAGCTAGCATAACAACACTGAGCCCAGCCATCTTTCCTTCAAGGTATCCCATTTGGTTTCAATATCTGTGCTGTTACTTGAGCCAACAATGTAGGAATTTGTGTCAGTTTCTCTTTTTTTATCATTCCTATTGATTTCATGCTTGTGATGCTCCGTGAGCAGTGTAAACCAATCATTACAGTCCCATAGTGCTTGCTGGTGACTAAAACAGAATCCTAGATAGACCAAACCAGCCAGTGTGAAGTCCTGTCATGTGTCTTGGTTAAGGTCACTCATACAGTGAAGTAAAGATACAGTCAGAAATACAGTGAAAATATTTTTCTTTTGATAATGTCAAAAAGGAAACATGTAGCTAGTGTTTCCATTATCCAAGGACCCATGCCCATACTCAGAAATATAACCAGCAGTAGGACAGAGCTGACCTGCTTGCAGAATGAAGAGTAAGGAGTTGGAACACAACCATGCCAGCCACTCTACATCCAGATGTTCAGTTCCGTGAGATAGTAAATGTCCTTATTTTTTAAGCCTTTTTGAGTTGGGTTGTCTCTTCCTTAGCGTTGAAAGCAAATTAATAGCTGCAAAGAGAAAGGTCCCTGAGGAAAGATGTATGCAGTATTTGCTGGCCGGGTACCTTCTAGGTTCAGTTTCAGTAGCCATGAAGCCCAAGGAGGCTAGGACTCCTATTAGATTTCCGTAAGATTCCTGGCTGTCCCGTAGCCACTTGCAGCCATGCTTGAGCTGTCCTGAGTGGTCATTATTTGGTGGTGGTGGTGGGGGGAAGGGGCATTGACATAAGGTCTTACTATGTAATTCAGGCTGGCCTTGAACTCCCTCTGAAACCCAGGCTGGCCTCAAATTTGTGGACATCCTCTTGCCTCAGCTTCCCAAGTGCTGAAGTAACAGGCATGTGCCATCACAAGCTGGCTTGGCCCAAGTATTTCTTGTAATTGTGAGGAGTTAAAATGGGAGAGAAAGGGCTCAGCCCACTGTGTCCTTGGCCTATGTTAAGTTCTCCATCCCTACCTGTGTGTTTATGTATGTTTTATTCTTAAAGGGTTTAAGGAATCTCTTAATTCTAATATCTTGTCTCCACAAGTGCCTAATGAATTTCAAGAATCTTTGGAGAAGCAAGTTCTTTGGAACCAACATGTTTAAGAAAAACAGGAGCAGATTTCAGGACCATGTCTTAGGGATCCAAATTCCCTGCACCCTCCTCTCATCCCTCCTGCGTAGAGAGCACCCATGTCAGTGTCACAGAATAGCTACTCTGGGCCTTTGAGAGAAGGGCTCCATTTAAATATAGCACATCTCTCATTCAGACCATCACGCAGCACAGTATAAATTAGATAATTTTTAAAAGAACGGTAGCTTCATTATTTTCGAGTACACAGAGTAACTTGAATTCAGCAATGAAGTGTTCCATTGTAGAAGCCCTTAGGGACATTCTTTAATGAGTAGATTATAATTATTGGTAATCAGCATAACGGTCTTCTGCAAAGCGTGTTTGGAAAGCAATTGAGCATATTAAGTGATTTTGATGTTCCAGGGGGCAATTTTGTTTACAACATTAATTTGCTCAATATATCCCCTTTATGACTGTAACCCTCTGTGGTTTAAAAGGGAAA